GATCAACGGGGGAGAGCCCAGCCCATGGTGGGTGGTGCTAATCCTGGGCTGGTGGTCCTGGGTTCTATAGGAAAGTGGGCTGAGTAAGCCATGGGAAGCAAGCCAGTAAGCAGCTCCCTGTAATGGCCTCTGCATCAGCTCTTGCCCTGTTTGAGTTCCTGTCCTGACTTCCTTCAGTGATGAACCGCAAAGCTGAAGTATAAGGCAAATCAGTTCTTTCCTTTCCAACTTGCCTTTTGGTCATGGTGTTTTGTTGCAGCAATAGAAACTCTAAGAGAGCCCACTCTTCCAGTTGGTGCAGTTGGTGAGGGATAGGGCCAGCTCTTCCACTCTCATGCCCCTGAGGCCTGCTCTTCTGCCTGTTGCAGTTGGCAAGGGGTGGGGTGGGGCATATTTTCTGCACCCATACCACCACTTGGCATATGAGGGAGGGGGCAGGTGCTTTTCTCCTGCTCCCATGTCCACAGGACTGGCTCACCAGTGCCCCTGCCTATAGGGTTAGCTCTAGTGTACACCACAGGTGAGGTGCAGGGCCCGCTCTCCCATATGCTGCAGCTGTTGAGGGGTTGGGCCAACTCTTCCCATCTTGTGACCCTGGGGCCAGCTCTCCTGCCTGCTGTAGGTGACAAGGGGGTTTGGAGAGGGCATCTTTTCCTCACCCATGCCTCCACATGGCAGACAAGGTGAGTGGGGTCAGTTCTCCTGCTCTCACACCCTCCTGGCTGGCTCACTTGTGCTGCTGTCAAGAGGGTCAGCTCTACTGTGCTGCCTGGGTGAGGTGCAGTGCCAATTCTCCCCCTCTCATGACCTCAGGGGCAGCTCTCCCACCCACTACACATGGTGAGGGGAGGGGGAGGTCTTCTCTCCCTTGCACTTCTCTCCCTTCCACTGTATGGAAGATAAGAGGAGGGGCCAGATCTCCCATGTACTTTCTCAGAGGTCATGTAAGTGTTTTATGCACCATCTTTCTCTTTTTCTTCACTATACTAATGTCTAGGTCTTTGGCAGACTTCAGCTTGGCTATTGCTTCTTCAGAGGGTTATACTCAGCTTTTTGCTCCTGGATGTCCCTGCATCTCTTTTCTCTTCGGGTGTCCATGTATTCTTTCTCCACACTGAAAGCTCCATAGGAACAGGGGCACTGTCAATCAACTGCATATTTAGGCAGTACTTTGACAACTGTATACTAAGTATTCACTAACTGTTTTTTGAATCAAAGAACCTACGATTGTTTACCTCCAATGTAATGGTATGAATGCGTAGAAGTGAGGGCTTAGATGTGTCATGCCATGCAAGAGACTTAGGAAAAAGATTGTGTAACTACTTTCCAATCTGCTGAGTTACATAAAAGCCAAAGATTTGGTTCTGGACTTGAGTTCTATCCATATTGGAGTTTAGACATAAGGAAGAATGCTTGATAAAGAAGAATAGATTCAAAAGAGGCCAAATCATAAAAAGAAAAAAAATCATCTAATAAGCAAGTCACTTTGGGATTTCAGAATACCAGTGCTGTTGACATTTTGGCTTGGACAATGCTTCAATGCAGGGCTTTTTATGCACTGAACCCTGGCTTGTATCAGTTAAATTCCAGCAGCACACTCCTTCCAGGTTTGAATGTTAGAACTACTGCCTGATGCATGGAGACAGTCATCGTGGTCTTTCTTATCCCAACCTCCCTGCAGGCTTGGCTGGATACTGGAAGACAGGCCTTAGGTCACTAGTGATTGTACTTCTTCGGGTTTATGTATTCATGCTGTAAAAATCCTCCCTAACAGCTAAGCCTAACACAGAAAGCACTATTTCCTTCCTCCTTGATTCTAGGAGCCATGGTAGTTCTGTTCCACACTGGCTGTAGCATTTTGGACACTGATTAAGTGTTTTTCACAGATCTTCTGGGGAGTTGTCAGGATCTGGGGTCACACTGGCTGCCTCACAGAATCTGAAGAATACCATTCCTAGGGATTATCCCTCCACCCCTCCCAAATATTTGGAAGGAAGATTGTAGAGAATGCTTGATTTCCTGTAATCAAGCCAGAAGCAGAAGTTGCACATTGTGAAGAACATGAAAATTTGTAATGGAGCTGAAGAGACTGTGATTGAGTTTACTGGCTTATGATGCTAGGATACTGACATTAGCCATGTGCTTTGCAATTTACAAGGTTTTCATGTTCATCTGGATTCAACAACTCTTCACAAAAATAGTACAGAGGTATTAATATGAATGTTTTTTGTTTTGTTTTGATTTTTTTTTGAGACAAGCTTTCTTTGTGTAGCCCTGGCTGTCCTGGAACTTTCTCTATAGGCCAAGATGGCCTTGAACTCTGGGATCCTTCTGCCTCTGTCTCCTCCAGAGTACTGGGATTAAAGCATATGTTACCACCACCTCACACTATCTCTCTTTCCTTTTTTCTTTTCTTTTTTTTTTTTTAAAAAAAACAAGATCTCACTGTAGCTCTGGGTGTCTTGGAACTATGTAGACCAGTGGTTTTGAACTCACACAGGCCCACTTGTCTCTGCCTTACAAGTGCTGGGATTAAAGGTGTGTGTGATTCTTGATCAGCATGTGTTTTAGATATAAATAAATTGCTAGAGCCATCACCTTCTGGTCTAGAATCGGGTCCCTGGCTGCAATGCAAACCATGAGGTTTCCTTTCAATGAAATCCCTCATCATCTGCTCAGTTAGAAGGACAGTTTTATTGATTTATCTAAACTTGGACAATGGCTGTAGGAAGGGAAGTCACTCAGTTTAGTGCTCCTGGGTTAATTTTTCCCTCTACTTTTCTTCTCTCTCCCCTGCACCCCTTCTCCTCCTCTTCATGAATTTGAGATCCTCCTGCCTTAGCCTTGTGAGTGCTGAAATACAGGTGAACCCCAGGATGACAGTCATGTGCCACCATACTTAGCCTATTTAACTTCTTTAAAACTATTCTTATTAATTCTTTGAGAATTAAATACATGCACATAGTGTGTTTTGATCATATTAATCCTCCTAATGTCTCCCCCTAACTCCTTCCAGGTTTACCCCCCCCCCCAACACACACTTTTTTATCCCTCCCAACTTTTTAAAAAATAACCCACTGAGTCACATTTGTGCTGGCCACATGTTCTTGGGGATGGGAACATCTGCTGGAGCAGAGGGTGGTAAACCTATCAGGGAACTCACCCTTAAAGAGAATGGACTCTCCTTCCCTCAGAAGCCATCAACTGTCAATAGCTCCTCAGCTGGGGGCAAGGGTGCATAAACCCCTCTTCTGTTCCTGCTGGAATGTTGACTGGCTTGACCTGATGCAGATCTTATACAAGAAACCACAGCTGCAGTGAGATCATGAATGCCATGCTCTTAAATTCTTAACATTTATTTTCCCAATCTCTAAGCCTTTCTAATGCCTACTCATCTTGTCATGGATTATAGTTTTACCTCCCTTAGGTGAGCCTGCCTGCATCCCTCAAGACTAGATGAGGCTCTCTGTTTGAGATTCCTCTACTTTTTCTTTGTCACACACTCCCCACCCACACTAACTGATCTTATGTTGGTCTTCAGGATAGATGGAGAGTGTATGGGAAAACTTAACTGCTGTGCATTTTGTTAACAATGCACTTAATTGTTCGTTGGAAAGGTGGGGAGATTTCTTGTTAACCTACTGTCCATGTTCTCCTGACTGTATGTTCAAAAAGGTGAAGGTTGGAATTGTTTAGTTCACTGTTATACTGCTGGTGGCAATGTAACGACTCATATGCAGTAGATACTACATGCTTTTTGAATTATTGCTTTCTCTTAATGAACTCTCTTTTGCAAAAGAGTAATATTGTGCTGGAAAACTTGGTAAGGGGTTATAATTAGATGCATATGAGATGTCCTTTCAGTGTTTGTCAGTAGCCAGATGCTCAAAAGAACAAATGCAGAAAGTGGGTAGTCCTTTAAGTATCTTGTATGAATCTCAACTTGATTCTGGAGCTAGAAACATTATACCTGCCCTTCAGAGACAGTCCCAGAGTTCAGAGACACACAAGCTATTAGTCACTAAGCAGATAATAAGAGCTTTGATGACTGTGCTATAAAGTGTGTGAGCTAATGATTTTACTAGCCAGATATGGGCATAGTCATGGACAATTTTCAGTGTTTTCCAAAGATTCAACAGGGGCCCAGTAATTAAACTGACAGCACAGTTAGTGAGACCATGTTATGATGTTCCATTTACCATTAGGGGTGTAAGTGTGTGGTGAAGTGTGCTTAGGGGGACATCCCCTAAGAGATGAACGTGAGGTTAGCTGTGGGCCCTTCTGGAGAGTGTGTGATCCATTCTTCTGGGGTGAGACATGAGCAAGGAAAGCAACAGGAATGAAGCCTAGAAAGGTAGGTCAGGGTTCTACTGTACCGGTCATGAGTGCAGGGCTTAATTGCTGTCCCATCGTTCAGAGATATCTTGTACCAATAGTTTTCACATCAGCTTGATACAAAGTTGAAATTCTGAACTCTTTTTTGAAGTTTTCCTGTCTATTCAAGGCAGGCCAGAGGACTGCTTCTGTTCATTTACCAGCCAGGTTCCTTCACTTAAATATTTTCTCACTGGATTATAGTGATATGGTTTCTGTGAGTGCCTGAGGACTTAGAAAGCACTTTCTACCTTGAGTCTTCAGATCCCATCACAGACCTGGGTACACAGAAGGTGCTTATTATGATTTTTATTGTTTTTATTATTATTATTATTATTATTATTATTATTATTATTTTATTAACATGAATGGAAGTGGCTGCAGACATTACTTGGAGGCCGGGGTACACTTTACTTTTGATGTCACTAGTCATTTCCAGAGCCATATAAAGAAAGAAAAGATGTGAGTGGGCATATACCTTTAAATGTAGTGTTGTATCTTTTTACAGTGAAAAAATGGATGCAAATTAGATGAAGTGTGAAGAATCCACTCCTTTTAATCTAGTGGCAAATGTGAGGGATATTTTAGGGTAGGACAGTGACACCTAGTGGTGGGAAAAAGATCTTCCAGTTCCATCCCACCCACCCCAAGCAGGATGTTTAGATCATTCTGAGGGTTTTATGACTTATGATGACACCAGTGGACATCCACAGCAGAACGTGAGCTGTTGTTGGCTCCCACAGGACCTCTGTGTTCTGCTGGTCTTCAGGATGGATGGTGAGTGCTTGGAAAACATGACTATTATACCTTTTGCTAAGAATACACGTAGTTGTTTGTTAGAAGGATGGAGAGATTTCTTGTTAAATTAAATGTTCTTACTCCAATATCATACACATTGAACAAGAAGGAGGAAGAGGAGGAGGAGGAGGATGAAGAGGAGGAGAATGATGGCAGTGAGGAGGAGGAAAGACCATAAAGAATTCTAACTTGATTCTTTGACAGGGCCACGGGGCCAGAATAGGAAATGTTGGGAGCACAGTCATTGACTGTCTCTGATTCCAGAGAGGGATGAAATGAGTCCAAAGGTAACATTGCAAACTAATCACCGAGCAAGGATCAGAGGCCAGATTCCTGCTTCTTAGACAGTAGCCCTTCCCTTTTGACTGGTCTCTGAGTCCTGATAGACAGACCACGGTGGGGATGAGAGTGTTTTATAGTGAAAGTGAAAGTAACTAGAGAGGATCCCCAACTGATGTGACCAGAATCTTAGGATGTACAGGAGAGGGTCATGCCTTATCCGCCTGGAGAGCAGAAGCAGGGACGGACAGAGTCCACTGGAGATGTCTCCTCTTCTCCATGTTCCACACCTACATGCTTTATCTGGACTCAGGGCCAAGCACAGCAGTCTGTTTCTCCACTGGAAGCACCAACTGCAGGGTTCACACCAGCAGTGTGCTGAAGCTGACTCTCAGTAGGAGAAGCAGTGGAAAGATCGTCCAAGGGCCCCAGACGCTTTTAGAAATGGCCTCCTACCCCAGAAGTGAAAGCCTGTGGCAAAATGCCCGCAGAAGTAACTTCAGGCAGGGAATGTCTACTTTGACCCCCATAGTTTTGGGTCATGTGGTGAGGAGGGACATCGTGTTGGCATGACAAAGGCGGAAGCTACTCACTTTGAGGTCAATATGAAACACACACTCACACTCATGTGCACTCACACATAGACAAAGTGGGGGGGGAGGGAGGGTGGGAAAGAAAGGAGAGAGAGAGAGAGAAAACAAGAGAGACAGAGAGAGAGCAAGTCTGTGTTTCTGAACTCCTTCCACTCCCTTTAAAAACATTCTGTCTACGTCCTCCACCTGAAGGATGGTGCCTTCCACATTCTCCCCACTTTATCAATCCTCTTCAGGAAAAGTCCTCACAGACACACTCAGTAGTGTGCTTCACTCGTCTCCTAGCCGCTTCTTAATCCACCCAGGTTGACAACCAGTGTTAACTACAATAAAATGAAATTGGGAATTGGGATGTTGTACAAAGAGAGAGGCCTGGGAGAGGAGCTGGCGGGAGATTCCCAGAGCATCTGTCAAGAGATTCTGTTTGTGTTAGCCTGCTCTCTGTGGTCCAGTGCTGCCCAGAGATGCCCCAGGAGAGTAGCCTTCCTGCACCTCTGAGCTGCATGGTATGGAGATCAAGGACCTCCTAAACGTCCAGGAATTTTTCCTCTCTGATAACCTTGGATTACATTCCAAGTGTAGTCTTCCTCTCAGCATAGATGTTTTGCTTAGTGACTTTTCCATTGACTTCTTCTGAAGCAAATTTCTCAGCTCCTGCTTTCCAGTAGACAGTCCCAAGCACTATGGCTGGACCATCGAGGGAGCAGCTGTCTCATGCCATCCAAAGCACTGCTGGGAAAAAGACATGCCAGCAAGATGATCCAGAGATGTGTTCTTGTTGTCTGTCTAGAGTTCTCGTCTGCAATTTGTTTTTGAGTATTTATTTTATAGTTAAAAAATTCTTAATTTTATTTAGTACTTTTTAAAAGTGTCCCTGAGGAGGTAGTCATTTCAAAAACAAGTAAAGACATGCAGAAAGTGATAAAATGCAAGATAGATTGTTAATTATTGTAATTAACAAACACATACATATGATTACTTATATAACAATGATTGCAAGTACAGAGGGAATATTCTGTAGGTCTTCTGAGCCTTGTGCTTTGCTAAGTACTTTATTATTTAATACATCAACACTCCAAGGTAGATGAGTGTGTGTTTGTGAAAATAGGCTCAGAATCTTTCTCCAGCCACACAGCAGGCTGCAAAGTGTTCGAGCTCATGACTCTTGTTCTGGTTCCTGCTGTTTATGTTTGCTAGGTACAGAATCTTAGACCTAACAGGGCCACACGAATGCTGGTTGATGATGATAGGGAGGTCATAATGACAATGCCTTCAGAAAGGGGAGGTCTTTGACTCCACCATTTACTCCTTTATGCTGTCTTCAGATATAACACAGAAAAAGTCATTCCCATTAGGGACTCAGCAAAATATATCACACCCTCTCCAAGTGTAGGGAAGATGACAGTTCTTTGTTGTATACCATCAACTCAGTGTTCTTATTTGTAAGTTGGGAATAAAGACACAACTTTAGGTAAAGTGATATATCAATGTCCATTATAGACATGAAACATATTCTAACTTGTTAATAGATATGGGTGATGCTCTTTATAAAACGCAATAATATTATGTATTGATAATAATGTTCACATCTGGGTGAAAGGTAGACCAGTACTCTAGGCATCAAGCAATATTGTGGTCTTGTCTTCCATGCTTGGATCCTGATATTTCAAAGATGGAAAGGAGCCACTTTGGCTTCTCTGTTGTTCCCTTGACAAAGCTTGACTTTCAAGCCTCTTTCTCGCTGTGGATGAGAAAAACTCGTGAATGTCAGCAGCTGAATGTTAGGTTTTTGTACTTCAACTCAGAGTCCTCACAGACAGATGGCTCTGTTTAAGACCACTATTATCCATTAAAGTGCCACACTACTCTGTTGTGCCTGGACAGAGGGATAAGCCACAGATTTTTTTGTTACTAGCCTACAGAAAGATAAATTTTAAAAAACTGATATAAATCTCTAAAAATTATCATAAAATAAAATGAAATAAAAACATTATTATAAAATAAAAATATTATTATGAAATATTGTAAATATTTTATAGTTATTTTTATGTCCATTAAATCTATGACTAAAAACCCTGTGGTTTTAATTTTTCTCTATTGATTTATTTACAATTTTTGTTTAAATTTCATTTCCCATAAATGTGAGTCTGTAAACAGAAATTTAAAAGATGCTGGTCAACAGTTTTTTTGTGGAGTCTTGTTTTCTATCTAAAAAGTAGATGATTTCTAGACTTTCATACTAAGGAGCCTTCCAAAGCCTAGGAAAATGTGCCCGTATCCTTCTTAGGGCTCACACCATGAGATATTGTGAAGGGTTTCACTTTGACAGGCTACAGGCTGACTCAAACACTCTTGCCACGGTGCCCACTTCCTAATTGCAAACTCAGGCCATTCAGTGGTTATTTTTCTCTATAACCCAGTTTGCTCCTTGGTAATTTCTGGCTTTCACTTATGAATATGGAAATAAATAACTAGTAACATTTAAAATATGTAACTTAACAGGTAGATCTATATCATAAATTTGTGGAACTGGGGTCAGAAAGAGTTTAAGACACACAGTTAGTACAGCTTAGAATGGATTTAAAACCAGCTCTATTTCCTCCAAGAGCTTATGATCTTTATAAGCACAGTTAGTTTGGTGTGATTAGGCTCATTCTCAAGGTTCCGCAAAATATAGCATAATCTTGTCAGAGAGAATTGAGGGATTCGGAGGATGGGAGAAGGAACGACAAGCACACACCCTTGTGTGTGTGTGTGTGTGTGTGTGTGTGTGTGTGTGTAGGGGTGTGAACTGACAGCATTAGGCATTGTTGTCAGACAATCCTTAAGGGTTGAAGTGTATGTCCCTACCCTGACTCATATGTTGAAATCCTAACTCCTAACTCTTCAGAAGGGAATGCTCTTGGGAGACACATCTTAGAGGTATTCAGATTAAAATGAGATCGTGGGATGTTCTCTTATCCAACATGGCTAGTATCCTTATTATAGGGGAGATTTTAGAGGCAGAAACTCAAGGGGGAATGCTGTGAAAATATGGAGGCTAATGCCATCTGCAGCCAAAGGGGAAGCTTGGGACCTGTGCATCCTGTCACTACCTTCTGAAGAACCAACCCTGCTTATGCCTCAGTCTTGGAGTATCAGCCTTCAAAATTGTGAGACAATATATCTCTCTGTTGTTCCAGCCACCCAACAGCAGCCTTTGCAAAGAAATACAGAATTTCTGTAATAAAAGCACTCTGACATGGCCATTAATATGACAGAATCATTAAAGATGTTCTTTGGGGGGTGAGAAGATCCCATACTGCCTACATGGAGCCTCCACTATTGATACATATTTAGCAACTAGTCAAGGCAGGGAGAGCAAAGTTTTCTTTGTAAGTCTATCACATTTCTAGCCCATGTACCTCCTCAGTGTCTTGTTTTCTGTTGACTCCCTGACTGTGGGCCATTCTTACTGGACTGATCTCCCTAGCCCTCTTATAAAGAGATTTTCACCAGATACACTTTCACTAATGTTAAGTGTGTGCTTTGATTTGTATTGGTGCATATTTTTGAATAAATGAATAGTGTTGCCATAGCGCACGTCACTGTCTACTTCCTTTAGGGGGCAAGTGGGCAGTCAGTCTACATATTCTGCTATAGAATTCTGAGTTTGGCTGGACGCAAAGGCAATTATCAATCAGCAGCCTGCTTGTGGAAGCAGTCATCTATGTTAAATGAAGGAAAAGGCTATAATGGCCATGCATGGGTGGCCATGGGAGGCTACAGAACAGGAAAACAGGGCAGTTTCAAATGCCCTGCCTGGAAGAAGAGTGTTTCATAAATGCTGACTGACTTGGACTGGCTGGGGGTTATCCTGCCTGTATGTAAGGATTTTATAAGCTTTTCTGGAGGTGTCTTAGGGGCTGCCTCAGTAACTCTATAACAAAAACACTTTAAATTTGAGGGTAGAAGCACAGCTCTGGAGGAATGAGTATCTTTTTTTTTTTTTTTTCAGTCATGAAGAGGGGTATTGTCAGATGGTCTGCAAAGGTGGTAACAGTTGTCCACTGATATTCTACATTATGCTCTCATTGGCAGATAAACTCATAATCACCTTGAGATTTA